GAATCTAGGCTTTGGCCTGCACTAGCTCTGTAACTCCTTTAAGCTCCTGTTTCTTCACCGTAAAATGTAGAGCATAATATATGCACATTATGGGATTGATGCAATGACTAAAAGAGACAATACACATAAAATTCTTGACACACAGTAAACACTAAATACTTGTTATATCCTACCCACCCCACTGCACACAGATACGCACTATGTAATGGGATTACAGATGGTTTTATTTATTGCTTTATACTTTTCTCATGTTTTTGGAATCTTTTATAAGACACAGATAGGCACAAGGTATTCACTGAGAGGGCACAGGGTAGTCTCTAAACTGTAAGCTTATATAATGTATATGTCATAAAACCTTTATACATTTCTGTACCACTTAAACAAAATGTTTTTCTTTTAAACTGCATAACACCAGTACACAGTACTGACACATACACCACAGATGCTCCTACTCCTCCTACCAATAAATGTTCAGCATTCAAATACCTTTTAATGTGCTTTGGGGGTAGTTTTAATCTTTCTTCAGGGCTTGAAAAATCAAAGTTACTCAAGAAGTCAGAGAAGGGTGTGTGTGTGTGTGTGCGCATGCGCACACACACGTGCATGTAAGCCATATCCGAATCCCATATGTGGTATGAACCTAAGTTCCAGAGTGGAACTAAAAATCAGTACCAAGCAGTGGAAGAGACAAAACTGTATCCATAACACTGTCAGATAACAAACGAAATCCATACAGCATCTTCCTTAGAAATAAAATTTCAAGTTTCAATTCCATCACAGTCACACAAAATAGAAGCGGCAGTACAAAAAAAAAAAAAATGTATGAGACAGACTGAAGGGTAAAAAATGACAGGAAAACACAGAGTAGACTTTGACATATCTCTAATTACTGCTTCGTTTCAGACTAATGGTAAAAATTAGTCTTCAGATAGTTGATAACATCAGACTGTCTGTGCTGAGTTAGTACTAAGATCTGTGGCCAAGCAAATACTTCTAATAAAATTGATTTTCCTTTTTGGCAACCAATAGGCCAGTCAATAATAATGTTGTTTGAGAAATATTGAGTCATGAGGGAGATGAACCTTTCCTTCCATTTATTATGTTTGTATTGTCTATATTTGAAAAGAGTTTTCAATAACGAAACCAAAGAAGATATTACAAGGGAAAGAGCTATTCTGAGAGCTAACCTCCAGAAGCCCTCTGACTTCGAAGCATGTTAGCAACTCAAACTGGAAAAGCCAAAAGCATCCCATTAACTAAAGTTAGATTGTATAGATTATGACTGTCAAAAGAGAATCAAAGCTGGCGGCTATACACAATGGTCATGTGAATACAAAGGAAAACATTGTGCCAGGCATATAATACTAACAGATCCGTCCTAAAAACCTACATCGAACTTTTACTTTGCATTAAAGCTTGGTGTTTAGTAAAGAATGTTCTATAAAGCCACTTATAGCTTTTGGATTGTCTGTCTCACACTACCCAAACAAACAGAACATAAGAAATCCGCAAGGCAAAAACCTAAGGCAATGCCTAACTTGGGGAAATTTCCATATACAATATCTCCAAACAATGTGTTTGGTTAAAAAAATTGTTTTGTTGTTTTTTAGAGATAGGGTCTTGTGCTCTGTCACCTAGGATGGAATGCAGTGGTGCAATCATAGTTCACTGTAGCCTCAAACTCCTGGGCTCAAGTGATCCTCCCACCTCAGCCTCCAGAGTAGTTAGGACTACAGGCACCCACCACTACATCCAATTTTTAAAAAAAAATTTTGTGGAGATGGGGTCTCACTATGTTGCCCAGGCTAGTCTAAAACTCCTGGTCTCAAGTGATCCTCCTGACTCAGCCTCCTAAAGTGCTAGGATTACAGGCATGAGCCATCGCATCTGGCCAGTTCTTCTTGTTTGTTGTTTTAACTTAGTGGTAATAGTGGTAGGGAAAGTTGGGCATTGAAAAAATGATTTTGAAATTTACACAGAAAAATAAATAAGCAAAAATAGTAGAAACTATTTTGAATGAGTAGTGAAAGAATTTGCCCAACCAGATTTAAAAATATATTTTGAAGCTATAATACTTAAAACAGTGTAGCACGAATACATGAACAGAAAACCAGAGCAATGGAATGGAAGAACAAGCCCCCAAGATAGACTGAAATACATAAAAGAATTGAGACTATGATAAGACAGTTCAAATTGCTATAGGAAAGATACCAATGATTCAATAAACATTACTGGAACTTGCTAGTCATTTGGACAAAAATAAAGTTGGCACCATTTGGACAAAAGTAAAATTCCTATTACATACATAGGATACGTATATCAATTCTAGATGAGTTGATAAAAACCATGAAATAATAAAAATACTAGAAGAAAATGTGGGGGAAATTTTTAACAATTATAACACAAAGAAACTGATTTTCCTTACTATATAAAAAGTTCCTGTAAGGAGAAAAATACCATCAACACAATGGGAAACTGAGGAAAAGCTATATTAAAAATATGATATACCATTCATCAAACAGGCAGAGAACAAAAAGTGTTATGATGAACTATTTGGCAGGGCTGGAGAAACAGGAATTCTCTCACACATTGCTGGTCGAAGTATAAACTGTTACAGTCCCTTTATATGGTACTAGTTAACTAAATTATGACACATTCTCCTGGGAACTTGTTGGATGATGGTGCCAATTACGGTGAGTGGCGGGCAGGGAAGGGTGGGCTGTTGAGGGATGCTGGTGTTTAGTGTTAGATATTGTGCGTTTGAAGTGTCTGAGGGACATCAAAGAAGAGATATGTGTGTCTGGAGCTACTGGTGAGATCTGGGTTGGTCATAAACATTTATTCTACTTTCTCTGTGAAATAGGAGGTATTCTGAAGATAAAGACCAGAAGACTAGGTAGTCAAATTTAATGATGATATTACCATGGTTTATGGTAACAACAGTGTTGTGTGATTTTTTTTATTTTTATTTTTAGCTTTTTCCAGAACCTAAGCGTAAAAAGACAAAGATGCCTATGTTACCACTTCTATTGAACCTAGTACTGGAAGGCCCAGCTGGAGCAATTAGGCAAGGAAATGAAATAAAAGGCACCCAAATCAGTCATTAGGATGTCTATTGTCAAAAACACAGAAAATAACAAGTGTGGGCAAGGATGTGGAGAAATTCGAATGTATTACTATGTATTACTGGTGGAAATGTGAAATGGTGCAGCTACTGTGGGAAATATTATGGCAATTCCTCAAAAAATTAAACGTAGAATTATCATACGATCCAGCAATTCTATTTCTAGGGTATATACTCAAAAGAAGTGAAAGTAGGGACTTGAACAGACATTTGTACATCTATGTTCACAGTATCGTTATTCATAATCGCCAAAAGGTAAAAGCAAACCAACTGCCCATAGATATGGGAATAAACAAAGTACTGTAAATACATACAAATAACATTCGGCTTTAAAAGGGAAGGAAATTTTGACACATGCAACCACATGGATGAACCCTGATCATGTTATGCTGAGTGAAATAAGCCAGTCAAAAAGGGACAAATTTTGTATGATTCCACTTATATGAGGTACCTAGAGCAGTCAAATTCACAGAAATAGAAAGTAGAATGGTAGTTGCCAGGGGCTGAGAAAAGGGAGGAATAGGAAATTAGTGTTTAATGGTTAGAGTTTCAGTTGTGGGGGATGAAAAAGTTCTGGAGATGGGTGGTGGCGATGGGCGCACACAATATAAACGTATTTAGTGCCACATTAACTATCCACTTAAAATGGTTAAAATGGTAAATTTTATGAGTATTTTACCACAATAAAAAGGAGAAAGAAAACCAAAATCTTAGGTTCTATGACCTTGGATTTGGCAATGGTTTCTAAAGTATGACACCATAAACAAAAGGAAAAAAGAGAAAACAAATAATAAATTAATTTCATCAAAATTTACAACCTATGCATCAAAAGGCACTATCAAGAAAATAAAGAGAAAACCCACAAAAAGGGAGAAGATACTTGCAAATCATGTAACTGATAAGGGTCTAGATTCCAGAATATATAAAAAAACTCCTACAACTCAACAACAAAAAGACAAACAAATCACTTTAAAGTGGGCAAAGACTTAGACATTTCTCCAAAAATATATGCAAATAGTCAACAAGCATGTGAAAAGATACTCCATATCATTAGTCATTAGGGAAATGCAAATCAAAGTTATACCATGATGAGACATCATTTCATACCCGCTAAGATAGTTATTTTTTAAAAAGCGAAAATAACAAGTATTGGTGAGGATGTGGTGAAACTGGAAGCATCATACATAGCTGCTGGGCATGAAAAATGGTGTAGCTCCTATGAAAAACAGTTTGTCAGTTGCTCAAAAAGTTAACATCAAATTACTTTATAACCCAGTAATTCCACTCCTATGTCTACAACCAAAAGAACTGACAACAGGTATTCAAACAAAAACACAAGTACACAAATGTTCACGGTAGCATTATTCCCAACTGCCAAAGACAGAAACAACCCAAACTGCCCATCAATCCATCAATTGATTAATGGATAAATACGTGGGATATTCAAAAAATACAGCCGTAAAAAGGAATGAGGTATTGTTACATGTCACCATATAACAATATAGATACACCTTTAAAACATTATGCTAAGTAAAAGAAGTCAAACACAACCATAATTGTTATGATTCCATTTATATAAAATATCCAGAATAGGCAAATCTATAGAAACAGAAAGCAGATTAGTGGTTGCCAAGGTCTGGGGCAAAGGGAGAAATAAAAAAAATTTAAAGTGACTGCTTAGTGGGAACAGGGTTTTCTTCTGCAGTGACAACAGTATTATGGAACTATATAATAGCAATGATTACACAACATTGTGAAATGTACTAAACGCCACTGAATTGCACATTTCAAAAGAGTTTATCTGGTAAATTTTATGTTATGTGAATTATACTTCAATTTAAAAAATAAAAGCTCTTCTTTATTTTGTCACTCTTACCTGACAGTTAATGTCAGCTCTATGTTGCAGCAAGACTGTGACTAGCTCCTTATGTCCTCGATCACAGGCCCAGTGAAGTAGAGCCCTACCCTAAAACACAGAATAAGATAAATGAATTTGTTATCTCAGTGGTGGGGCCATGTAAAAGATATAATGTTTTAGGAAAGACAAGGAAATATGTAAAAGTATGGGTTAATTATTCTAAGAATGATTGATATAAAAATGCACCACAGGAAAAGCAATAAACAATCAATGGGGCAGGGCACGGTGGCTCCTGCCTGTAATCCCAGCACTTTGAAAGGCCGAGGCGGGTGGATCACTTGAGGTCAAGAGTTCAAGACCAGCCTGGCCAATATGGTGAAACCCTGTCTCTGCTAAAAATACAAAAATTAGCCGGGCATGGTGATGGGTGCTTGTAATCCTAGCTACCTGGGACACTGAGGCAGGAGAATTGCTTGAACTCGGGAGGCGGAGGTTGCAGTGGGCTAAGATCGTACCACTGCACTCCAGCCTGGGTGACAAAGCAAAACTCCATCTCAAAAACAACAACAACGAAAACAATCAATGCGAAGCCCCAATATCTACTTCTGGATCTGTACTAGCCCAATGCCTGCTTTCAGCTCAACCAGTTCACTTACAGAGTGGCGATGATAGTAATAACAACAATAATATCAATAATACCTGCTAAATGAACTATAAGAAAATGCTTTGTAAACTGTACTTTATAAATTCCAGTTTTCTAAAATATTATGTCCAATGAATTCATAAGAATAAAAAAGCAAGAACTTAAACCTAGGTAGAAATCATAATCCAAATGTACTATATCTAAATTTCCTCAAGTTTATTCCTTAAAAAGATTAAACCAGTTTGAAAATAAGCATTTCTCCTTACTATTGCAAGTTTACACTCTGAAATACCTCAAAAACACTAGTACAATCTATTAGTGTCTATCATCAAACAGCTGACTGTGAAAGCCACTTGTAAAAGAGAATGGATGATTAACTATTAGGAGACAAATACTAAATACGAAATATTAATTTTAACATTTGTCTACCAAAGACTCACAGTTACTATTACATGTGTTATTTCTATTCTCTACTGCTAAATCTTGTTTTAGTTAATGAAAAAAAGCCTACTTGGTTCAAAAGAATAAACAAAACCCCAAAAGCTAAGGGTTTTTCTGAATAAATGAGTGATGCATGGCTTACTACTTTCTGAGGATGGTGATGATGTTGTCATTTACAAAGAATGGAATGTTTTTCCACATTAAGTTGAAATCCCTACTTTATGTCATTTTAGGAAAGACTTAAATAGATATAAGCTGGGGCAAGGATTGATTTAAAGTAAAAAGCACCTTTCAAGAAACAGCTTTTCTAAAACTGCCTTCATTCTTTTTATCATCCAGACTCTCTTCACACACCTGTTAGTTCAACTAATTAAACTAGGATCTATTCTTTAAACAAACAACAAAGTAGGAAAACTTCTTCCCTACAAATTGTCTTCTTTTGCTTTCATTTGCTTGATTTACTTTTATTTACCTGTGAATACCTGTTTTCTAACAGGCTTACGCAAAATCCTAAGAGGGAGGAAAGCAGTGAAAAAATGTAGGCAAATCATTCACAATTTACAGTATCAAAACTATTTTATTTTGCCTTGTTCAGAGCCCAGTAGGAGTTATTTTTATTTTATTCTATTTATTTTATTTTTGAGATGGAGTTTCACTCTTTTGCCCAGGCTGGAGTGCAGTGGCAGGATCTCTGCTTACTGCAACCTCCGCCTTCCAGTTTCAAGCAATTCACCTGCCTCAGCCTCCCAAATAGATGGGATTACAGGCACCCGCCGCCATACCCAGCTAATTTTTGTATTTTTTTTTTTTTTTTTTTTTAGTAGAGACGGGGTTTCACCATGTTGGCCAGCCTGGTCTCGAACTCCTGACCTTGTGATCCGCCCACCTCGGCCTCCCAAAGTGTTGGGATTACAGGCATGAGCCACCACGCCCAGCCAGGAGTTATTTTTTAGTGGAGACAATTCTAAAAGTCCAGGTGAAAATGTACAGCAGTTTCCTATGTTAAAATTTTTGTAGCTCTAATGTGATCTGCTGTTACTAGGGCCTTAATTCAGAAATCCTCCATATGAACAATTAGATATTTTAATGAGACTCTGAACAAATACTAATGAATAAAATATTCTACAGGTCCACGTTATTGTTTCACAGCATTTATTAATACATTAAAAGAATCAGACAAAATTTCAAAGTCTATCATTTTTAGTTCTAATTGTAAGTGTGCATCTTATGGCTATTAGCTTAAACTACAGACAAGAGTTACTACATAGTCAAGACGATGTGTGATATATTTACATAGGGTACTTACAAAAACTACATAATAGTTAAGTAGGACAACATATGTCTTGTACTTTTACCATAAGATGTATAGATAATTTATATCTCTCAGCCACGTTCCTGAATTTTCCTTAGGTTTGACCCAATAGGGTTATATCAACTAAAGCTAAAATATAAATCCTTAGCTGTTTCAATGGTAAAGCTGACAAGTAACACATTTTACTGTTAATGGGTGTTATATTTTAAATTTCCCATATTTTAAATTTTCCATGTGGTGCCAAAAATTTACTTTAGGGGAAACACCTATGACTGGACCTCCGTAGTGATTTTCACTTTGGATATATTTTCCAGAAGCGGGGCACATGTATAGCAATGTTTTAAAAAGGATGATGTGCTCTCAGACATTTACACCATACTTTTTAACACATTTTCTGACCTGCAATGCAATTAATTCTTGTAACACATTATTTTAATGGTACACTAATTAACCTTGAATTAGAATGAATTCTCTGACAATGACTTTCTGTGGAAGCACTGAAGATATCTACATTAAGATCACATAATGATTAATATTCCATGCAGTATTACAAAGCTCAAAAACAAGAGTAGGATTAAACATACTTGTAAACAAACACAGACAAAACAAATCAGGCTTTGGAATTTTAACCTTCAAGATGCTCTATATTTAAATGAACAAAAACCAGCACAATGAGGTATCTGTGATACCTTTTACTTCTTCAAATTATAAAATTCCTATAAACATACTCTAATTTATTATTCACTCACTAACATAACCAGTAATTTGCAGAGATGCTATCCTTATAATTAATCATGATAAAATCAGGAAATAAACACCTGTGGTTTCTTTCCTTTGTTAACCACAAACGCACCTAGTTCAATACAATTATTAAATTATTTTAGGTAAAGAATTCCATAATCTCTTCTCCAGAAGGAAAACCATGAATTAGGTGTGCATTAAAGGTATATCTTCTAAGACTTTATCTAAATTTATCAAATAGTTTACCTATTTGTCTATATAATTATTTTCTCTTTTTCCATGAGTGATATAATCTCTTATAAATTTTCAAGTTAAATTTATTTTTATTGCTACCACAATAAGTGACAATTCTTTGTTTCTAATTTTAAAAACTCTTCTGGAAAAATATCCCAGAAGCATTCAGGAGATTGGTGAGGGAGAGCCATTATTAAAAGGAACCTTTGTTAGGCCACCAGAAGACCACAAACACTGGAGAGCTCTGAATAAATTCTGGAACTCAAATACAGTAAAATGCAGGGGAAAAAGAATTCTCATCTATTAACCAAGGGTGCTAACACTGTCCTACCTCAGACAGATGAATGACTCTAAAGTGCTTTGAAAGTGCAGGGTAGCAGCTAACCTATTAAGTGGTATTACTTTCATACCTTCTGGAAAATACAGAGAGCACATCTTAATATATGAAATGCTTCTCTGATTTCCGTAGTAACTCATCCTTAAACTAAGTAGAATTTTTTTTTTAATTAGACTTTTCTCCTCAGTATCACAAAATTTTAAAAAAGAGGAGATTCTGGCCAGGCACGGTCGCTCATTTCTGTAATCCCAGCACTTTGGGAAGCCAAGGAGGGCAGATTACCCGAGGTCAGGAGTTTGTGACAAGCCTGGCCAACATGGCAAAATCCTGTCTCTACTAGAAATACAAAAAATTAGCGGGGTGTGGTGGTGCGTGTGCCTGTAATCCCAGTTACTTGGGAGGCTGAGGCAGGAGAAATGCCTGAATTGGGGAGGTGGAGGTTGCAGTGAGATGAGATCATGCCACTGTACTCCAGCCTGGGCAACAGAGCAAAATTCTGTCAAATTAAAAAAAAAAAAAGGGGGGGGGGAGTGGGTGAGGGGAGAGGAGGGAAGGAAGCAGATTCTATTATAAAATGAGTCTTGATGTTCTTACGGTATTTTGAGATCAAATTCAAAGTATGTATACCATATATACAATAGATAAAAACATGGCAAAGTTGGTATATTTAAATTTGTAAGAGTTGTCTTTCTGTCATTCTATCAAACACATATGGTATATGGTATGGTACTGTCTAATTAGCAAATGAAATACTGCAAACAGGTGGACGTGAATTTCTCTCTGCAAAAAAATTGGGTATCAATTTATAATTGTAGTAGAGATTGACTTCACCTACCAACAACCTGTAATGTCCCCATCTCCTCTGTACTATCTTCTACCTTTTGCTGCTACTACTGTAGCAGCTGGCCATAGTGAGAACTCCGCTACCTGCAACCACCAGAAATTACACAATGCCTCCTTCTTTCACTTCCCTGTCCATAGTGAAATGACAATGTTGTTTCAAAAACTTACGAATAAGATTGAAAGATAGTCTAACATCTCAAGATATACCTAGCATGGAAGCCAATGACTCCTTCTGGGATAATTTACTTACCAGCATTAAAAAGAAAACCATACACCAGTATGTGTGATATACACTTAAAATCAGTAACTACTGGATCTCTTTCACTGGCAAAGATCTAGGGTAGGGAAAAATGGTGTTGCTAATTTGTCAGGAAATTGAGAAAGATTTCTAATATACTACTTTAAAAAATCTGGCTGGTGTGGTGGCTCATGCCCTAGTCCCAGCATTTTGGAAGGCCAAAGCAGGCAAGTACAAGACCAGACTGGGGAACATGGTGAAACCCCGTCTCTACAAAAAATACAAAAATTAGCTGGGCATGGTGGCACACTTCTGTAGT